CCTCAGCCGGCCATCTTTAAGGCTTGTGGACTTCAACTCCCAGAATTCCTCAGCCGGCCATCTTTAAGGCTTGTGGACTTCAACTCCCAGAATTCCTCAGCCGGCCATCTTTAAGGCTTGTGGACTTCAACTCCCAGAATTCCTCAGCCAGCCATCATTAAGACTTGTGGACTTCAACTCCCAGAATTCCTCAGCCAGCCATGCTGGCTGAGGAATTCTGGGAGTTGAAGTCCACAAGTTTTAAAATGGCCACGGTTGGAGACCCCCCCCCCGATTTACCCTGTGGCTACACAAAGGCGATCCAAAGCCTTGGGGACCTTGGTGGTTTTCTTGCAGACGTTTCGTGACCAAACTGGGTAAGACCAAACCCCATTTCCTTTTTTGGGGGGGGGGTAAAAGTTTTTATTAATTTTTTCCCATACATACAATAATAATTTTTCGACCGACGTGCTGTCTGAGTTTACATTCCCTAATACGTATTTATATTCCTAATCCTTTGTTCTTTCCTCTAGCCCAGTGGTTCTCAACCTTTTTAATGCCACGACCCCAACCAGTCGTAAGTCGAGGACTAAACCGGTCGTACATCAAGGACTACCCAACCGGTCGTAAGTCGAGGACTTTCCCTGCCCGGGAGCACCGCGCATGCGTGGTTCCGCCCCCTGCGCCGGCCGAGGCGTAGCTGGCAAGCGGCAGAGACGGAGCAGGCCGACCACCAGCTGGCCCAGCTCAAGGGAGGTAAGGCACCCGCCGGAAAAGGGGGAAAAAATGGCGGACCAAAAAAATGGCGGACAAAAAAAATGGCGGACAGCCTTGCTTGGCGACCCCCGTGAAATGGTCGATCGACCCCAAAGGGGGTCCCGACCCACAGGTTGAGAACCACTGCTCTAGCCGTCCATAAAATAAGTCCCAAGTTGGCTAATATTCTCTCACCTGGCTGACATGCTGTGGGAGGCGGTTCCCAGGGCTCTGCGCCCCAGGATGCAGAGCCCGAAGCACAGGGTGACCAGGCGGGAATTCCACTCCCGGTCCACGGCCTGCAGGGGGGAGGAAGACGGCAGGTGTGGGGGGGGGGGTCACTCGTGGGAAACTGGGAGGGGGGGGACCGTCAGGATCCCAAGCCAGCTCTACGGCCCGCCTCCCCCCGACTCACTTTCTCCCTGCGCCCGGCACAGTACTGAACCCAGTCGAGGTAGATGTTGCAGAAAGAAGCCAGGGAGATGCCCGCCATGCGGTGGTCGTAGTCCTCGTCGATGTTGAGGTTGAAGGTGGGGTCGCTGTCGGCGTAGTTGAGGGCGGTGCACGGCCGGAGGGCTTCCTGGATGCCTTCGTTCCCCATCCACTCCTCCAGCTTCGGAGAGCAGGTCACGTAATAGATGATGCTCTGCAGGGGGAGGAAGTGGGCCAGGGGAGGGGAGGGGAGGAAGGGAAGGGAAGGGAAGAAGGAAGAGAAGGGGAGGGAAGAAGGAAGGGAAGAAAGGAAGGGGAAAGGAGGGAAGGAGAGAGGAGGGGAGGGGAAGGAAGAGAAGGGAAGGGAAGGAGGGAAGGAAGAGAAGGAAGAAGGAAGGAAGAGAAAAGGAGGGAAGGAAGGAGGAGGAAGGAGAAAGAAGAGGGAGGGAAGGGAAGGGAAGAGAAGGGGGGAGGGGAGGGGAGGGGAAGGAAGGGAAGAAAGAAGGAAGGGAAGAAGAGAAGGGGAGGGAAGGAAGGAAGGAAGGAAGGGGAAAGGAGGGAAGGAAGGAGAAAGGAGAGGGAGGGAAGGGGAAGGAAGGGAAGAAAGGAAGGGGAAAGGAGAGAAGGAAGGAAGGAAGGGGAAAGGAGGGAAGGAAGAAGGAGGAAGCAGAAAGGAGAGGGAGGGAAGGAGAGGGAAGAGGGAAGGAAGGAAGGAAAGTGAAAGAACGAAAGTGGAAGAGAGGGAGGGAGGGGCAAAGGAAAGGAAGAAAGGAAGGGAGAGGAGAGAGAAGAAGAAAGGAATGAGAACAGGAAAGGAAATGTTAAAGGTTAAACACTTAAAGACTAAACACTGCCAATCACCGCAAGCTATAAAACAAGAGTTACAACAACACAATGGTTGAGTTTGTGTTAAGCTCATAAACCCCCCACAAACCTCCAGACGCTTCCAAAAAGCTCTCTCTCTCTCTCTCTCTCTCTCTCTCTCCCAGGTCCCTTCTAACTCTGTTCTTCTGTCATTCTGTAAGGGTCTCCTGCTTGAGCACGGGGGCTGGACTAGAAGACCTCCCAGGTCCCTTCCAACTCTTGTTACTCTACTGTACTATTCCTGGCAAAAACCGATTTCCCAGGGCCGATCTCCCCCAAACGGCAAAGAGAAAAGATCTGGGTGTCTGGGCGAGACAAGTCCCCCGGGGTGAGGCTCCCACCTTCACGTAGTAAGTGATGAGGATCTTCCGCAGGTCGAACACCTGGAGCATGGAGGCGGCATTGTTGTCGCTTATGCTGTAGCCCTCCAGGACGTACTTGGTGGCGGCTACTTCCCAGGCGAGCCACCGCTGCCCGAAGGCCGCGTTGAAGCTCAGCATGCGGGGAAGATGGCCGGGTTCGCAGCAACAGCAGGCTTCGTCCTCCTCCACACCTTCCGTGATGGCCTCGACCTCCCGCTGCTGGCAGTACGTGCCTGGAAATAAGCAAGCCCACATGCTCAAACGCCCTGCAGCCACACCCATTCACTCCACTCAGGTGACCCTGAGGACACAGGTAAGCCTCCAAGTGGCCTCAACGACCCTCTCAAAGGATGCAAATGACCAGCGGTCTGCAAGGAGTATAAATCCTTCCGTTCCCCACCATCCCAGTCAGAGCTGAAGAAGCTTCTTGGATGAGAAGCGAAACCTCTTCAAAGAAAAACAAACAACTGGTCATTTGCCTTCTTTGAGAGAGCCGTTGAGGCCACTTGCAGGTTTATCTGTGTCCTCAGGATCACCTGAGTGGTGCAAATGGATGGGGAGCCTTCTTGGAATTGCTGAAAGGACTGTGTGTTCCACTCCCATTTTTGCACTACTCAAATGACCCTGAAGATACAGATAAACCTACAAGTGGCCTCAACGACCCTCTCAAAGGATGCAAATGACCAGCGGTCTGCAAGGAGTATAAATCCTTCCGCTCCCCACCATCCCAGTCAGAGCTGAAGAAGCTTTTTGGAGGAGAAGGGAAAAGTCTTCAAAGAAAAAGAAGGAAGTCCAGTGTCCTCGTGAAAAAAGCACCTTTGGGACAATCGGGACCTGGATGACGGAGAAGCTACGCACTTTGGGGGTGAAATTGGGGGCTTAGGGAGAATCCCTGAACTTTGAAACCCTAGCACAATGTTTGTCAACCTTGGCAACTTAAGGAGGGGTGGACTTCCACTCCCAGAATTCCCCAGCCAGCATGCTTTAAGATGGGTGGACTTCAACTCCCAGAATTCCCCAGTCAGAACGCTTTAAGAGGGGTGGGCTTCCACTCCCAGAATTCCCTAGCCAGCATGCTTTAAGATGGGTGGATTTGAGCTCCCAGAATTCCCCAGCCAGCCTGCTTTAAAATGGGTGGACCTCCACTCCCAGAATGCCCCAGCCAGCATGCTTTAGGATAGGTGGTTTTGAACCCCCAGAATTCCCTAGCCTGAATGTCTGGCCAAAAGAATCCTGGGAGTTGAAGTCCACACCTCTTAAAATGGCCAAGGTTGAGAAACACTGCACTAGGAAGTTGGAAAAATTAGGATTTAGGGAAAGAATTCTTTCGGAGATGGCAGAGAAAAAGGTGACACACTACCAATCCAGGCCACCTTTGATTCGGGAGCGGGGCCTTGCCTCGTCTTCGGCTTTTCCAGCTTCCCACAGAGACGCCGTTTGGTTACCTTGTGATGCCCGCCCGATCGACTCACCGCGGAATTCGAGGCCTCGCAGCTGGAAGGTGACCAGGCCGTTGCCGATCTCGATGAGGTGGACCAGGCTGTTCAGGTAGTCCGAGGCCAGGATGAAACAGTCCCCCGTGGTGTAATTGCCCCAGCGCCCCAACAGCAGGTCTCCGCACAGGGTGTGCTGCAGCGAGCGGGTCAGATGCTCGTAGAAGATGGAGTTCAGATTGTTGTCGTCGGCACCTGCAGGGTGGCAGAAGCAGGTGAGGGCTGGGTCAAGCGCGCTGGGGAAAGGAGCACCCAGCTTTATTTCCTCGGGAGCATCCGCAGGGAATACTCGACGTACGACCTTTTTATTTTCAATGACGGTTTGAAGTCACAAGAGCACTGAAAAATGGCCATTTGTGGCATCCCACGAAATACGGCACGGTCACGAACTTCAGAAGGGAATCGTAAATGCTTTTCGAGGGGGTCTGTTGTAACCTCACACCAGCGTTAAGCCAACGGTCGCGAGTCAAGGGTTACGTGTACCCGTCTCTTCCCTTGCAAAATTGCTCACTGTATGGGCTGTCTGGTAACCCAGGGGTCCCCAATCCCCGGGCTGTGGATTGGCACCGGGCCGTGGCATGCCAGCAACCGGGCCACGCAAACAAGTGAAGCCCCATCAGTAGGACACAGGCAGCATGCGAAACCACGCAGCCTACAGTCCGTGGAAAAACCTCTCTCCACGGAACCGGTCCCTGGTGCAAAAAAGGTTGGGGACCATTGTGGTAACCTACCGGGGTTGCGGTCAAGCTGTGTAGCCAGACGGGTGTTCGAATGATCCACCCTCTTGGTGCTGGGAAGAAGGAAAGAAGCAAATTAGATCCGGAAGAGGCAGGAACCGGGCCCCAAACACCTTCACTGTAATAATAATAATAATAATAATAATACTCTATTATTTTAGAATGTAGAACATGGGATTGTGGGATTGAAGGGACCTTGGAGATCTTCTAGTCCAACCCTCTGCTCAAGCAGGAAACCCTATGCCATCCCGAAAAAATGGCTGTCCAATCTTTTCTGGAAAACCTCCAGTGTGGGAGCATCCAGAACTTCTGGAGGCAAGCCATTCCACTGATCAATTGTTTATATTATCAATTGTATACATTCGAACTAGACTGTGATGTTTCTTTGTGTCATATATGTGTGTGTATGTGGGTATATGCATATTGTTTGGAGTTTTTTTGAGAGCTGAATGCAACAATATTTCATTTTAATGTATGTTGAATTAATGTATATTTAAAGTAACAATAAAATTATATTCTATTCTATTCTACTCTATTCCTATTCTATTCTATTCTATTCTATTCTATTCTATTCTATTCTATTCTATTCTATTCTACTCTATTCCTATTCTGCTCTATTCTATTCTATTCTATTCTATTCTATTCTATTCTATTCTATTCTATTCTATTCTATTCTATTCCTATTCTGTTCTATTCTATTCTACTCTACTCTACTCTACCCTATTCCATTCCATTCTATTTTCTATTCTATTTTTTATTCTATTCTGTTCTGTTCTGTTCTGTTCCGTTCCGTTCTGTTCCGCTCTGCTCCACTTCTATTCTATTCTATTCTTCATCCCCCCCATGGTCATATGACCTCATTTCAGGAGCTCCCCAACCTGGCTGAATTTACGGCCATTCTGCAGTCATGTGAGCTTTTTATGACAATTTTCTTATTGGAAACTGGCATTTGCTTTTGGCTTTTGGCAAAATCAGGCCCACAGACAACCAATGTTTCATTTAATAACCGCGGTGGTTCACTTAAAAGACCTCAGCAAATAAGGCCGTAAAATTGGGTCAGTCATGCGACCACTTTACAACTGTCATGAGTTACGATTGCGATGGGCAGACTCCATTACGGTTGTAACTCGAGGACTTCCTATACTCTGAGTGAGTAAAATCCAGAGGAGCAACAGAGATGATTAGCAGAGATAATAGGAGCACTGCTGCCCTCTAGTGGCTGTCTGAAGACTTGCCACCTGCATCTGATCGCCCAATTTGATGTGATAAATTAAAGAGACGGGTCATCAAATCCTCAATTCCTTTCCCCAAAAAAGGCCGTTTAATATCTGGCCCTCAATAGTCTTCCATTCAATCATGGAGTTGTGATCGCTACCAATATTTAAAACAGCATTTTTTTCAATCTTAGCCAATTTAAGCTGTCTCGATTTCAACTCCCAGAATTCCTCAACCAGCAGGGCCATTGGCTAAGAATTCTGGAAGTTGAAGTCTATCCAACTGAAAACATGATGATTGGGGAATGCTGGTAGTCCAGACTGCTTAAAATTGCTAATATTGAGAAACACGTCTAAGTTAAAAGCAAAGGAAATGAAAAAAAAATAAAAATAAAAATGCAGATTATTTGATAAGGTTTGCCTGTTGCCCAGCAAATGAAAACAACTCAGGAAGCAGCAACACTTCCTATTACTGCCTTTATTAAAATGATTAGTTAGTTTATTGATTCGCCCATGGGCCTTATCAAACTACAGAGTTCCAAACACAGAATGTTAGTCAAATCCTATTAATTGTTTTTTTAAATGAAACTGGAGTAAAATACAATCATTTAATAGCGAGACAAGTAAAATAAGATAAAGTTATATTTCAGCATCACCCCTACAATCTACCCCAATCAGTCCCATAATATGTCAATTTTAGCTGAACCACTTTACTCAAGTACTGTGCCATGATTAAAATGATTAACTATTATCATAGCAAAAATATGGTTTTCTAAGCATTGCAGTCGGTGCTATTAGAACCCCTTTTTCCCCCCAGGACCTCTTTGAGGGAGCGTTAAAGCAAATTCATTGGTCTGGGGGCTTTTATGTTCCCAAACTCACTTGTAATCGCGCTCCCAAAATTTGACAGGGCGCGCGTAAGACATGATGAACACGGCGCTGCCCAGCAATGGGTTGAGAGGAGTGGAGAACAGCGCGGAGAGAACAGCCTGGAGGAAAAGCATGGCTGAATCTGGAGAGACAGGGGTTAAGGACACATCAAACATACCAAAGATTGTCAGGTTCCACTTCCAAAATTCTCTGAAGGACCTGGAGGAAGATTTGCACGCAAGATCAGTGCTTCCCAACCTTGAGAACTTTTAAGATGGGTGGACTTAATTCTTCGTGGCTGGCTGGGGGATTCTGGGAGTTGAAAGTTCACCCACCTTTTCTCTTTTCTTTTTTTTTTTATTAGTTTATAATATAAAAGACAAAAGGAAATAGTAGGAAACTAAGGGAGGGAGAAGGGAAGGGAAAAACGTAGGGCAGAGGGAGAAAAGAAAGAAGAGGCGTTGACATCTGACTCCCTTTGGTGGAGCAGAATAACATAATAGCATCCAACCTCAATTTTTTACTTTTACGTAGTAATATAAACTAACCATTTCTGTAACAACAAGCCTGTCTAATAGGCGAAACCCAAAATCAAAGTTTCATTATTTTTTTTCCAGAAGTGGTTTCCAGGTAGAAACAAAATTAGTTGTGTGTGTGTGTGTGGTTTTTTTTTCTTTAATCAAAGCAGTCAATTTAGCCATCTCTGCTAACTCCATCAACTTTTGCAGCCGGATGTCCAACTATCTTAAAGTTAATTAACCAAGGTTGGGAAACTCTGGGTTTAGGTAAAAGAAACCCGAGTCTGGGACAGAACTGTAACTGGAGAAATAAATTAAAAGTAAAATAAAATAACATTCTGTCTTCCAAAATTTCTTGAGGCCCTGAGTTCCACAGGTTAACAATAACAACAACAACAACAATAATAAAGTTGGAAGGGACCTTGCAGGTCATCTAGTGCAACCCCCTGCTCAGGCAGGAAACCCTAGACCATTTCAGACAAATGGATGTCCAGTCTCTTCTTAAAAACCTCCAGTGTTGGAGCATTCACCGCTTCTGGAGGCAGGTAGTTCCACTGGTTAATTATTCTCACTGTTAGGAAGTTTTGCCTTAGTTCCGGGTTGCTTCTCTCCTTGATTATTTTCCATCCATTGTTTCTTGTCTTGCCTTCTGGTGCTCCCCCCTCTTTCTTTGTGGCAGCCCCTCAAATATTGGAAAACAGCCAATCCTTCTCTTTGTTAAGCTAACCACACCTAGTTCCCTTAATCATTCCTGGTATGGTTTAACCTCCAGTTCCCTAACAGAATAACAGAGTCCGAAGGGACCTTGGAGGTCATCTAGTCCAACCCCCTGCTCAGGCAGGAAACCCTAGACCATTTCGGACAAATGGCTGTCCAGTCTCTTCTTAAAAACTTCCAGTGTTGGAGCGTTCGCAGCTTCTGGAGGGAAGCTCTTTTGAGTTTGGCCAGGGAAGGCAAATACAATTCCTTTCTCCTTCCTTGCCCCATCTTGGAAAAGGATACGTGGCACGGCGAAGGGCTGGGCAAAGGCGTGGAAGGCGGAGCCCCAGGTGATCTGCCAGGGGGCGATGTAGGTAAGCACAAACCGAAGCTTGTACAAAAGATCCCACAGCTGGGGGAAAAAAAACACGATCAAAACCATAGAGAGGGTAGAAAAAGAAAAGTTTAGAGAAAGCCAAACGCAGTCAAAAGCATCAAATCAGTGGCTTTTTGCAAACAAATCCGGTCCGTTTGGGGAGACATTCCTGGTTTCTGCGCCCAGGGTGGAAAGTGCGCCCGGTTTTAAAATGAAAGCAGCCAGTCCTCATTGAGGGGGGGCCTTTCCAGCCTCTGTTTCCTTCAAGAGGAGGGCAGGTCTCGATACGTCGGCTCCCCCAAACCATTATTTACCTGCTAGAAGGAAGGGGTGTGTGCAAGAGGCCCCAAACCAGCACTCACCTTGCTAAAGAGAATCGACATGATGAAGTAGTCGGTGAGGAAACCCTCCGAATATTGTTTGTAGTCAAACTGAAAGAAGAGGACGGTGAAGCCCAGGGTGACATACTGTTGGGGGGGGCAACAGAAGGAACCCCGCAGAAGTTTCATGCCGGCCACGGTGAGGAGAAGAGCTCGGCAACTGGGGTCAGATTGCGCGCAGGGAGAGAAAAGAGAGTAACGATTATTACCAACCTCTCTAAAAAAAAAAAGAAAAAAAAAGAATGCAAGACTATTGATTGCGGCAGGGGTCAGCAACACAGCAGCCCTGGGGCAAAGACGTCCGCAGGAGAGTTCCAGGGGACAAACGATAAATAGCAACAGCACTTAGACTTATATAATGCTTCACGGTGGTCTACAGCCCTCTCTAAGCCGTTTACAGAGTCGGCTTCTTGTCCCTTGCAACAATCTGGGTCCTCATTTTACCGACCTCAGAAGGACGGAAGGCTGAGTCAACCTTGAGCCCGTCAGGATTGAACTCCTGGTAGTGGGCAGAGTCAGCCTGCAATACTGCATTCTAACCACTGCGCCACCATGGTAATTAGAGAATAGAATAGAATAGAATAGAATAGAATAGAATAGAATAGAATAAATAGAATAGAATAGAATAGAATGGAATGGAATGGAATGTAAAATATAGAATAGGAGTAGGAGTAGGAGTAGGAGTAGGAGTAGGAGTAGAATAGAATAGAATAGAATAGAATAGAATGTAAAATATAGAATAGGAATAGGAGTAGGAGTAGGAGTAGAAGTAGAATAGAATAGAATGTAAAATATAGAATAGGAATAGAAAATAGAATAGAATAGAATAGAATAGAATAGAATAGAATAGAATAGAATAGAATAGAATAGAATAGAATAGAATAGAATGTAAAATATAGAATAGGAATAGAAAATAGAATAGAATAGAATAGAATAGAATAGAATAGAATAGAATAGAATAGAATGTAAAATATAGAATAGGAATAGGAATAGGAGTAGGAGTAGAATAGAATGTAAAATATAGAATAGGAATTGAAAATAGAATAGAATAGAATAGAATAGAATAGAATAGAATAGAATAGAATAGAATAGAATAAAACTGCAATAGCCCTTATACTTATATACTGCTTCACGATGCTTCACAGCCCTCTCTAAGTGGTTTACAGAGTCGGCATCTTGCCCCGCACAACAATCTGGGTCCTCCTTTTACCGACCTCGGAAGGACGGAAGGCTGAGTCAACCTTGAGCCGGTCAGGATCGAACTGCTGGCAGCGGGCAGAGTTTAGCCTGCTAATACTGCATTGCTCACCACCAATAAAAGCAGCCCTGTCCATAAGCTCTACCCCCCCTTTGCCTGTGTGATGTGATGTTGCAAAAGGATAGCAGTATCCTTATACTGTAAACCCTGCCTCCTTTGTGCGTTGTGTGATGCGACGTCGTAAGCTCTGCCTCCTTCGTTCCTCCTTTGCACGTGGGATGGGATGTCACGGGAGGCGCAAGCCCTTCTCCCCACCCCTGGGGCTGCCGGTCTGCCCGGAGGGGCTGGACTTACGGAATGCAGAGCTTCTCCTGCCGGGGGCTGCTGACCCAGTGGGCATCGATCGTCAGGGCGTTCAGCACCACAGCTGGGTAGATGACGTACTTCTCGACGCACTGCAGCCAGGCGTAGAGCTTCTCAAACCACATCAACTCAGCAGCGCCTGGAAGGACGGGAGAGGGGAGGGGAGGGGCAAAAAGAAAAGGATCGAGACCACCGCCTTTCCCCCATTTCAATCCCAAAGGGTGCCGGGTAACCCCCTGGAGAGAAGCTCAAAGCCCAGGGATTCTGCAAACAGTCCTAATCTGGCCTACAACTACTCTAATCTGCAGACCAGCCCACTGTTTCTCAACCTTGGTAACTTTTAAGAGGGGTGGACGTCAGCTCCCAGAATTCCCCAGCCGGATGGGTGGACTTCCATTCCCAGAATTCCCAGCCAGCATGTTTTAAGATGGATGAATTCAACTCCCAGAATTCCGCAGCCAGCATGCTTTAAGATGGGTGGACTTCAACTCCCAGAATTCCCTGGCCAGAATGCTTTGTGGACTTCAAGTCCCAGAATCCCCCAGCCAGCATGCTTTGTGGACTTCAACTCCCAGAATTCTCTGGCCAGAATGCTTTGTGGACTCCAACTCCCAGAATTCCTCAGCCCAACCGCTGCCTTCATTCTCAACCGGCATGCCTCGTGGTCGGGCATGAGGGGAAGTGTAGTAGAGCCCAGAGCCTCCCAGAGCCTCCATTTGCTTCCCCTCCAGGCACGGACTTACTGCGGACTTCAAACTGGCTGTATTCCCGCGGTTTCAGGACGGGCTGGGAGAGGCAAAACCACGGCAGCTGCTTCCGGAGTTGGGGCAGGAGGTAGTGGGTGACAAAACCGATCAGCCCCGCCAGGGCGTAGAGCACATAGCCCAGGACAGACTGAGGAGAACAGAATCAGGAGAAACGCCAAGATTACACAGGGGGTCCCCGACTTACGACTGCCCGTTTAGCGCAGAGATCCCCCAACCTTTTGGGCACCAGGGACCGGTTCCGCGGAGAAAGGTTTTCCCGTGGACTGGAGGGCGCGTGGTTTTGTGTGTGGCCGGCATCCCACGGATAGGGCTTTGATGGTTTGTACGGACCGGTTGCTGGCATGCCTCAATTTGAATGGCGGTTATGTCGAAAAGTAATGTAGTGTTGTAGTTTTCTAATGGGCGTAATAAAAGTTCTGTATCTGCGAGTGTCTGTCCTTGATAATCAAATGGAGGTTTATTGCCCTCGTAAAATCTAAAACCCAAGCTACAAGTATTTTCTGTTATTTCAGAACTGTAGTAAGTCGAGGATTACCTGAACAGTGTTTCCCCCGTGCCCACAAGCCAAGCTGCTACCCACGGCCCACCCCACGGCCCCTTTCCTCCCCTCCCCTCCCCTCGTCCTTGTCTCAGGTACCTCGAGAGCGATGAAGACGGTGCTGGCGCTGATGGCGAAGGTCAGCACCGCGATGATGAAGCACATGACGAGGTCCGAGTGAAGGATCTCGCGCTGGGTTGGGTGGGAGGACAAAAAGAGGAGCGTTGAAGAGCAGGCAAGGAGAGGCCAGGAGCGCTGGGTTCGGAGTGTACCTCCTCCAGGCCTGGATCTCCTTGGACACCCCTTTCCAGTTCCTCCTACTCCCCATTAACAGCCCCCCGCCAAGAAGGCCAAAATCCAGGCCTGCTTTTCAAGGCAAAGGCCTTCCTCACCAGGGAACTGCGCAGTTTCTCCGGCAGGGGATCCTTCACGCCAACCGGGGGGTCGTCCACGTTGCGGTTCTCAAACTCGGGCAAAATCTTGGTGCGGATCAGAGACCTAACCATCACCGGAGAGGGGGGGAGGAAGAGAGGGAGAGAAAAGTGCTTTGCTGAAACCCGAAGCAGCCCCCGAAGGGACGGGAGACTTGTCTTCTCCCTCGCGAAAAACCCCCCGAGGGATGGTGGGTGGGTGGGTGGATGGGTGGGCTACAGACCAGAGGATGGTGGGGTCGCTGCTCTGACGGCTGAGATGGTAGGACAGGGACACCAGGACGCCGCAGAAGACGGAAAAGAGGACCGGCACGTGCTGGTCACCCCACGGAACCTGGGAAAGAGAACGCGAGGGATGTACGGCGTGCCGGTCTTGGCAACGTAACAACGGCCCAAAGCAAGAGGTTTGTTGGCAAAGCACAGGAGCTACACCTGGGTTGTGTATCCAGGAGCAGCCGCAATACATCGCAGGATGGGTTTTCCCCAAATCAAGCCAGATTAAGACAACTGGCTGGTGTGGTGTCACACTTGGGGACTAAAGCGCCATTTCCTGGGCTGACCTATGATACGTAGTCCTTGACTTACAACCTTGCAACCAGTCCAAGTTACATCAGGTCCCTCAAAGGTACTTATAACCTGGTTCTGAAGTTCACTCTCTCTCTCTCCTCCCCCCTCTCTCTCTCTGGGTCAGCTGGGTGACTCTGGGCCCATCACCAGGAGACCGTGAGTTCTAGTCTCGCCTTAGGCATGAAAGACAGCTGGGTGACTCTGGGCCAATCACCAGGAGACGGTGAGTTCTAGTCCCGCCTGAGGCGTGAAAGCCAGCTGGGTGACTTTGGGCCAATCACCAGGAGACGGTGAGTTCTAGTCCCGCCTTAGGTGTGAAAGACAGCTGGGTGACCTTGGGCCAATCACCAGGAGACAAAGAGTTCTAGTCCCGCCTGAGGCAGGAAAGCCAGCTGGGTGACTTTGGGCCAATCACCAGGAGACAGTGAGTTCTAGTCCCGCCTTAGGCATGAAAGCCAGCTGGGTGACTTTGGGCCAATCACCAGGAGACGGTGAGTTCTAGTCCCGCCTTAGGTGTGAAAGACAGCTGGGTGACCTTGGGCCAATCACCAGGAGACGGTGAATTCTAGTCCCGCCTTAGGCAGGAAAGCCAGCTGGGTGACTTTGGGCCAATCCCAAATAGGAAGAGGCAGGAGTATACTTGCCACCTTGTGTCATTTATAAAAAATAATAAAGGCAGGATACACACACACACACACACACACATAATTGTACACACACACACAATGCAAGGCAGGTTCCCTTATATATCAAGAAAAAGAACGGGGGAAGGAGGGAATAAAGGGGAACTTAATCCTCACCCCCTTTGAGCCCCCCCCCAAGCCCCTTCCTTCCCAGAGCCGGTACCTTGATGGCTCCCAGGCAGAATCCGTACAGGAGGCCGGCCACAAGGATGCTGCGGAGCAGGGCGAACAAGGCGGTGAGGGGGCTTGTGGCAGCTGGAGGTGGAAAAGAAAAACGAGGCTGTGAACAGCAAGTTCTGCTTGACTTTGGCTGATCTCAAGAGGCCGAGCGAGCCAGGCCTGGACAGGGCACCACCCAGAGATGTCAGGATGGGAGGCTCGACTGGGAGTTGAAGTCCACAAGTCATAAAAGGGCCAGGTTTGAAGACCTGTGGGTTACAGTGTCCTTGGGGTCTTGTGATCGCCATTTGCGACCTTCCCAGCCAACTTTCCACAAAGAAAGTCAACGAGAAGAAGGGCGTCATTCTTCTCAGTAACTTTGAACGGACGTTAAATGGATGGTCGTAAACGGAGGGCTATTTCACCTTGGGGGGGATCTCTTATTAACAAGTGGCAAACCCCACTCCCCTCTAGCACTGATGTTGTTACCTAGTTGGGTCATGAAATGTCTGCAAGGAAACAACCAAGCTCAGAGAGCACCCAGAAGCCCTCAGTTCAAGCCACAGCTATTCTCATCTATTGTCACCGTCGTCAAATTTCAAATTTCCCCTTCCCAAAGGTCCCTTTCCCTCCTCACCTGTCCCGCCGAAGACGTTCATCTCGACCTGTTCCAGAAGGTACATGAAGCAGGTGTTGACTTGTGGGAGAAGCCCAAAGAGGAAAATGGCTGGGAAGCAAAGAGTGAACACTGGAAGGGAAAAAAAAGAGAGAAAGAAGAAGAAGAAGAAGAAGAAGAAGAAGAAGAAGAAGAAGAAGAAGAAGAAGAAGAAGAAGAAGA